ACCTTGTTGGAGACATGGCAGTTGGCCAACTCCTTGTTGGAGATATGGCAGTTGGCCAACTCCTTGTTGGAGATATGGCAGTTGGCCAACTCCTTGTTGGAGACATGGCAGTTGGCCAACTCCTTGTTGGAGACATGGCAGTTGGCCAACTCCTTGTTGGAGACATGGCAGTTGGCCAACTCCTTGTTGGAGACATGGCAGTTGGCTAACTCTTTGTTGGATCCATGGCAGTTGGCCAACTCCTTGTTGGATCCATGGCAGTTGGCCAACTCCTTGTTGGATCCATGGCAGTTGGCCAACTCCTTGTTGGATCCATGGCAGTTGGCCAACTCCTTGTTGGAGACATGGCAGTTGGCCAACTCCTTGTTGGAGACATGGCAGTTGGCTAACCTTTTTTGCTATGTTAGAATGCATTAGTGTGTTTTGTTCGTTAAAAAAAATACTCGTAGCAAATAAAATAGATTTGTTAAATAAAAATTGTAAAACTGACGACTCGTCTCATAAATTTAAAATGATTTTCTGTTACTGTAGTTTTTTTTTCATAAACATAATTAATATTATGCAAAACAATGACATCATTCATTGCTAATTGATAAATTTTATTTGATTTGTCATTTATTTATCAATTGCAGAGGAAATGAAACGTACTGCCAGTACATCCGAAGCCGCTGCCCGGGCAATGGGCAACGACCTTCAAGAACTCAGGAAAAAACTTAAGCATACAGAAGAGATTCGCGACACGTCTCTCAAAGAAAGCCGTCACTACAAACAATGTCTAGAATCATCAAAGACTTCACTTCAGACGCTTCTTAACCAGGTATCGGATTCTCTGCAAAAAGAGGAGAAACCGCCAAAAGAGTGTAAATCTGAGAAGTAACATTACATAAAACATTTCTTCTATTAGAAATACACATTTCAATGGAAGCACATGCACATATGTTAATCACAACACATTGATGTTTACATTGTAAATTAAAAGAGTTGCATGTTTGTCTGTGGAGAGAAGGCAATTACACTCGCAAGACTCGCGAAATATGTTTCTAATAGAAGAACCACCTGTATACTTTTTTTTACGTTTGTATATAAAAAGAAATTACTGATCTTTACTTAAAAATCAAGGACTGTAGTGGGTGCTAGTGATTGTTTTTAACTTGGTACAATTAGTCAAGTTTCGCATGATTTATTGTCCAAATAGAAGATATGTTTTGTTTTTACCAACTTTTTTGAAAATATCTCTGATATTGAAACAACTTTTAAATCTCTTTTTCTGAAAAGTAGTTCAATTCAGTAACATGTCTCAAATTATGACTGGAAATTTGTTGAAAAGCAGACATGTGTTGAGTTTGCCTGGTAGTTTGAAGTGAGTAGGTATCTGCGCATGGAAGTGTACTGCGCTGTGTTACTTTCGTACCAATAGTATTTGTTATAAAATAAGCCAATCAATGAAAACCATCATTGATGTTCAGTTGTTCGCTTGCTAGTGATTTGGTGCCACCAGAAATTGTTGACCACTAGCAAATCATAAATTCCTTGTTCTATTTCAAAAGCATTTTAACTTCTTTCTATTCTGTGGCTGCTTTAGCTGGACAACTGATGTATGGACATCAGGTATTTCTCTCAAGTGTGCATTTTTTTTTTATTGCTGTAATCATTTTTAATCACATCAAGACTCAATTACAGATGGTTGTTTTGTACACAGATGTTGTGAAATTGGTTCATTTGCTCTAGGACTAATTCCCTCTATTCAGCATGTGCTCTAAATAGTACATTATTTTCTGAAAATGCCTCAATTATTAGCCCGTATTTGGGAAGTACCCAACTTCCTGTCTGCTGGTAGATTTTTCAACAGCTTAGAAATTCAGACATTGTAATGCATGTGGGACCATCTTGCTTAAATAATACCCATTATAGTGGCATTATAATGGTAGGAATTACAGCTATCACAAAACAGATGTAAATCTTTTGAGCTCTTTTCTACAGATGTTGACAAAAAATTTATTTGGTCTAAAATAAAGACTGAATTCAGTGAAAATTACAGAAAATATGAACAAATGTACACCAATTTTTGTACATTATCAAAAATTTGGTGCCCAAAAGGTTAAGTTTCTCTCTGATGTGATTTTTTTTCTATTGGCATTTATTGAATATTCCTAACTCAGAACAAGGATCACGATGCCATGTTTATAACATGATACTAGTAAGTAACCGAAGTCATCGAGTGCAAATTTAATGCGGTTTTGTTTTCAACTTCCAAAAATAAAAATTATATTTTTACTTCTCACAATTAATGTATTCAGGGTTTTGTGTTTTATTGTGAAAATAAAAGCTTCACGTGGTACGCATGGATGTTTTTTTTTTTTGTGCATTCTTAAAAGTATTGCCAAAATTTGTAATGAAATTGTATGAGGCATGAACGTGAATTATGGTCAATCTGTATTCATACATGTCACATTCAAAATGTAGTCATAAATATTCATGTAACATCCACCAGCGACTTCTTTAGAATGTGAATAATAAAACGCAGCACAAAATGTTTAGGGATTAGGGTACAAGATGACAACTTTCCAGATTTATTTCACATCACATGTAGGGTTACTTTGCCCATTCAATTGTTCCACCCTACACGTTTCTGATTCTGACTTGCTTTCTTGAGTCAAATTTTATTGTCTAGTCATTGGCTTATTTTAGGTATATATAAATTTTCATAAGCTGATCATACTATAATAAACTTATTCAGAGACATGATCCTATTACAAATTGTGTGCAGAATAGTTTAAGAAGAGGAATGCATTCAGAGTCGTGTAAATTGTTTATATTTGTAACCCAGAACATAAACATGAACTAAACAAGTCATTGTCAATGACACGTCACCGTTCCGTTCATATTTGAGTGACATATACATTCAAAGCAGATCATGACTGAAATGCACCTGCATATGTACAACACATTGTACTAAATCTGAACAAAATCCATCCATGCATGACTGAGATCTGGTTCCGGAATTGTGAAAATACGTGATTTTAATGCATTTTCGGTCTTAAAATGGCCATCATTCAGCTATTGTTAAGCGGATCATGAAACAAATGCACATATCTATTTGTGACATGATGCACCATGTGTGTGTGAAGTTTGAACTTGATCAATCCAGACATGAATTCTTTAAGAAAATGGCCGCCAGTCGGCCATTTCGAACTTGATCCGGGGAAAAAAAATGACGTGCATCAAGGTCCTATTATGTTTAATGTAAGTACCAAATTTGAACGAAATCCGTCCATGCATAACTGAGATCCGGGTTCGGAATGGTGAAAATGTGCGATTTCAATGCATTTTCGACCTTAAAGCGGCCGCCATTTGGCTATCGTTAATGGGATCATGAAACAAATGCACATACATATTTGTGACATGATGTACCTTGTGTGTGTGAAGTTTGAACTTGATCAATCCAGACATGTCTCGGATACGGATCCAGAACTGAATTCTTTAAAACAAAAT